GCCAGCCTTATAGCGTATATAGTATAGCTTAGTATAATATGGCGTACATGTGTAACATGTTACATGTTATAATTCTCCATCTAGTAGGAACCAAAATGGCGGATAAGAATACCTACATATCTAGTGCCTTAGTAACGTTACGTGTGTTTTTATCTCCTTGTGTCCCATGGAGCCGTAATACCATGAAATTTCCGTAAAAGTTACTACAAGTTACTAGTTATTACTAGTAATGCTTTTTCTAATTTTATTTATTTAACTAAATTTGACGATTTAATTAAAATTTTTGTTAAAATTATAATATATTCTGTAGTTTTCTTATGAATAAAATACAAATAAACAATTATAATCTGTTAAATAAAAAATAGTAATACCGTTACGTGTGTATTTACGGCTCCATGGGACACAAGGAGATAAAAACACACGTAACGTTACGGACGCAATTTCTACAAGGAGGCATGTAAGCACGCAATGCAATTGCACTCCGACTTTAAATAAAAATAAACGTGTCATAATCTTAATAATTGTTATTTTTATAAAGTGATTTGTTTGACAATTTTGAAATTAGAAGCATAATGAATCTTCGGTTCATGTTATTAGTTATGATTACAATGTTGAAAAATTCAGTGGCTTCTCCATTTCATCAAAGAAAACTAACGTACAATAGAGTGATTTACATGTTTACAATTTATTTAAAATTGAAGAGGCTGGAAAGTGCCAAAAAACAGAAGCGCAAGTGCTGGGTGCGACCGATATTTCAGCTGGAAAGAAGACGATTGCAAGGAGCAAGCGACAACTTGGTACTAGAAATGCAATTGAATGATTCAGACAAGTATTTCAATTACTTTAGAATGTCACCTGAAACATTTCAAAGACTATTAGTATTGGTTGGACCAGGTATTACAAAACAAGAGTGTATCAGGGAACCAATACCTCCTCGTACTCGATTGGAAGTCACTTTACGCTATTTAGCATACTTCCTCATTGAATGTTACAAAACATTTATGTTTTATTAATTCGTTCATGTCGTCCGACATTATCTACCCGCAATAGCCACATTTCATTCGCTGTAAAATAAGATACATTTATTAATAATTTATATTTATAACAGCTTGCATATATCAAATAGCATTTAATATAAAATATTATTTACTGCAGAATATACAGAAGTCATCGTGAACACTGACAACAAAACCTAAAATTTGCGCGTCAAACGCCGTAAGTGAGGGAACATTCATACATGAAATATCTAAAATACAGACAGACGCAATCCCTAATAACTTTTGCGGACTTCCGGTGCGGATTACGGATTACGGGTTCTATGTGACGCCGGCCAGACACAAGCGACACAAAAGTATTATTCTCTCTGTTGCTCATTGAATATCGAACAAAGACAGAGTGATACTTGTGTCGATTTGTGTCAACTTGTGTCCTTTGCTGGAAAACATACCTAATCATCATAAACTTCTCAGCTCAGCGACAAAGAGGCGAGAGGGCAAAAAGTAAGGGAATGGATCGAGAATGGCGCAGGCGAGAATACTCACGTTTATAGTGCCTTAGGGCTTGTTCGTTTTAGCTGCACTGGGGCAGCTCTGGGTCTGCTCTAAACAAGATAATACAGGACAAACTATTTATCTGTTCTGTATTATCCTGTGTAGAGCAGACCCAGAGCAGCCCCAGTGTAGCTAAAACGAACAAGCCCTTAGTTTTAGCCGAGAGGAATCTTCAGAGTTAAGAGCGCGAGGAAAGAGTGCAGAATCGTCCGAGTCTTTCCACACAGTATATATATATACAAGATATATGTATATATGTATATATATATATATACACATATAGAGGTGATTCAGCAATTACCGGACATCTTGTATATACAGGGTGTCCCTTACCGACTTACCGAATAACCGGTTCAGGGTAGACTCCTGACGTTGTTCTGAGACGAAAGTTCCTTTGGCAAAATGTCGAGGGTGTCGTAATTTCGGCGTTATGAAGGGTAAAAGTTCCCCAATCGATGCGCTGAATTTTCCCGCGCTCAGGGACATCGCACATCAAAGGAGCCCCGTGCATCGCGCAACGATTGACTCGATCGAGCGTGTTTCTCGCGATTGTTCACGCATTCACTGTTCACTGTTTCACAGTACTCCACAGGAAAAATGGAGTCAGATCTGCCGGAGATTTTGCCGGCCAGTGCACGGGCGCATTCCGCGTACGATTTATCTATCCGCGTATCTCGCGTTTAACCCGCGATGCGTTTTCGCGTACGTGTGTGGCGAGACTATCGTCGCGTCACTTTTCGACACTTTCTTCGCGACATTGACATTCGTATGACCGACAAAAAAGGACGGACTGATCGCTCACCGAATTGCACGAAATCACGACACGCGCGCGGAACTGTCAAGCACTAGCGTGAAGCGTCGTGCGCTCCCGCGATAGAAAATCGATATAAGCACTGCGAGATATGACCTATCGCGTCTTACGTCAATACGGAGCAATCAATGTAAGATATGAAATAAAAAATAATTTTAATTTTTTATTAAAAATGTAAATTTTATTTTTGTTTAAAAAAACGTCGTATCTTATATCGATTGCTCCGTATCGACGTAAGACGCGGTAAGTCACACCTCGCAGCGCTCATATCGATTTTCTATCGCGGGAGCGCGGGGCGCTTCACGCTAGTGCTTGACAGTTCCGCGCGCGTGTCGTGATTTCGTGCAATTCGGTGAGCAATCGGTCCGTCCTTTTTTGTCGGTCATACGAATGTCAATGTCGCGAAGAAAAAATGTCGAAAAGTGACGCGACGATAGCCTCGCCACACACGTGTGCGAAAACGCGTCGCGCGTTAAACGCGAGATACGCGGATAGATAAATCGTACGCGGAGTGCGCCCGTGCACTGGCCGGCGAGGTCTCCGACGGATCTGACTCCATTCTTCCTGTGGAGTACTGTGAAACAGTAAACAGTAAATGCGTGAACAATCGCGAGAAACGCGCTCGATCGAATCAATCGTTGCGCGAAGCACGGGCTCCTTGATGTGCGATGTCCCTGAG